ACCGGCCAGCATGACAGAGCCGATCGCAGACCACCCAGCTAGAACAAGGCAAGTCCGGGGACAAAACATCTACCACAGCAGGGGAAAGAGTGGGGCTGAAAGAGTTACTAAACCCTCTGACCGCAACCGGCGACCCCTGGGGGAGCTGTGCTCTCACACCACATGATGTTTCTACCAGCCGCCCTTCCCAAGCAACAACAAGCTTGTTAGCTCTGCACTCGGCTACAGATCAAGCCTGGAAGGAGAAGCCCAACTACCACCCAGATGAGTACCCTAGACACCTGTGAAAGCATGTGGATCCCTGTCATTGTGCATTGAGCAGGACTACTGTGTCTCCCTGTCACAGCCCACGAGTCTGAAGTTAACCCATCCTATAGGCCAGCACAGAGACAACCACAGCCTAACGTTACGCGGGCTTTACAAGGGACTACAGTTTTAACTTTGTCTTGCTGCCTAAGCCCCAGTATTCTTTGCTATACACTGCTACAGTATTGCCTTTCCTACCTATGTTAAATGGCAACGATCTGCTAAGCTCCAGTGGTCCTAACTAAGCTTTTGACTAGCCAATATGTAAAACAATAATTACTACTTAAAACGTAAGCTCTTGTCTAGCCAGCATGTTAAACAATAATTCTTACTTAAAACGTACCAATCGTGCATTGCATAACATAATTCACCACGTGTGTCTGACATGATTCTTCAGTATCAGTGAGCTAGGCATATATGCAGATTTAATATTATATTATCTTGTCTAGATACCAAACGTGCAGTATAAATCTGTTATGTCTTACACCATGATAGACACACTGGTTCAGCGTGGTCCTAGCCTACCCCAGATATAGCATGTTTACCTTATCGCATGATACACCCAGCATGTATTGTTAACCCGTTGTATATTACTTTAAAAAATGTGTGCAGTCACTTCATATACCATGTCAAAGTTACACAATGTTTGATGCTTGAACTACTTGCCAATACTGTCGTGGTATCGCAAGTCTGTATGTAAACGCTTGCACAACAAAAATAAAGAATAAAAAAAAAAAAAAAAAGTATACCTTGTTATTCTGTGCTTTTATAAACAATATACAACTATACATAGTATACAATAGAAAATGTAAGTAAAAATATCCAGCCAAAGGGGAAAAAATGGACACATGAATGCATTGGAGATATTATTTTTCCATCACGGCTATTTTACCCTACTTTTGGAAATAGTATTCTCAAATCACCACAGTTCACAATTTTATGCACCTAAACTCCGTAGTAGATTCATATTAGCTGTGTATTTAAGACACAATCAAAACAAAACACTCTTGATGAAGAGTGCTAATTGTTCAAAAATATTCTATTGGTGTTCATTGTAACTGCTCCTTGTTTAACTGCCTGAATATAACATTTGTTCTTGCACTAATAAATCATTCCAAACCCCATGGTCCCAGGAGGATGTGTAATGTTCATTATCACAATGTGTATCCTAACTTTACCAAGACTACAGTACATACCTTGCAAGAGAAATAATCCCAAAATAAGTGTGATAATTAGAACCTTCATCTTCAGTCTGTGGGGTACTGTATGTGTCTGCTGCCACTGATTGATCTGCCTTTACTGAAGAATCTCACCTTTTATAGCCATGTTCTTAGCTACCTCCTTTTGGTATCATCACATTATGTAAACACTACGTTTCCCAATCTCATTTGTTTGCACACTGTACACATTTTGCTCAATGTAATCTAAATTCCAGTAATGTACCTTGACTGTCTTGTGTTTGTAATAAACAATGAGGTGAAATAAAGTGTACAGTGATTTGCAACACTGGTCCTAAATAAAATCTGTCTCCAACAACTGATTGGAGTTTTTTTTTCTTCTCAAACTCTAATTTTGATCTATATTTTGTGAATTGATTGTCAAATTCCTGCAACTCATTATTCAATTATCATGCCCAAAATAAAAAAGAAACTAATCTTTAAATAAAATGGCGTGCTAATTATCGAAACTAACATTTTTAGTGCTCTTTAGAGAATATTAAAATACTGTGAAATGTGCAAGGTGAAAGCAGATGACTGCACCAAGAAAGTAGATTCTTTCTAATTTTTAAGGGACACCCTAAACACTTGAATTACAGATTTATTTTTTTATTTTTGTTTATTTAAAAAGTGCTATAAACTTTAAATACATATACAGAGTGTAAGAGGAAATGTAAAGGAAACTTGAACACACGTGCTGAAGTCCCAATCACAGACAACATTGAACTGTAGGAAATCAATATGCCTAGAATCAGTCCTCTGGATTCCATTTGGTCTTTACTAGAACTTGGAGTGGACCTTCTAAAAGTTTCTAATAAAAACCCTTCATTCTGTCGGTGGATCTGAAAATTCAGAGAAACCTGATATTTGGGAAATAGGAGAGACTAATGAGGAATGCAGGAACAGGGCAAATAAAAACAATCAAAGCACTTGTGAAACAGTTAAGAATAGATCATTTAAAATCTTACATTTCTACCTCTGCACAATGTTTATGCCTTAAAATGTAATACATCCAGAGCAGTCATGGGGCTACAAATGTATCTGCTCTACCATGTAGAGAGATGGAAGGATGTCCATAACCTTGATTTCACATTACATATTACTGTCATTGATTGTTTTTAGGGAGAATTAATCAAACTCTTGGCTGTGTAATAAGATGGGGCTAGTGGAAATGGGTTTTGGAATCCATTATATGTCTAATGTTTATTCTGTTTATACGGCATTTTGTTATTTGGCCTTCATATAGCTAAGCTATTATTCAATATATAGTGGCTTTTCAAGTTGTTCAATTGCAAAACCCAACTTAATATTTCTCACTACATGTGGTTCTCTTATTTCATGTAGGTGCATGACTTAATTGACCTAATATTCTAGATTTTGCATCAGAACAGTGGCTTTTACCTCCAGTATGGGACTCACAATTGGTTCCTGTGACAGATTCCCTGTCCCTTGATTAAAAAGCTTTCTGTTCCATTCACCTGTCTGTTCGGTAGATTTCAGTAGATTGCATTCCCCTTCTTTCTAACATTATTATTATTATTATTATGTTATTTATATAGCGCCATCAAATTCCGCAGCGCTTTACAATGGGTGGACGAACAGACATGTAGTTGTAACCAGACAAGTTGGACACACAGGAACAGAGGGGTTGGGGGCCCTGCTCAAAGAGCTTACATGCTAGAGGGAGTGGGGTAAAATGACAGTGGAATGGACCAACAACTTAGTCGCATCTGGCGTTAAGTAGGGGCGGATGCGCGCAATATTTTTGAGATGGAAATGACAGGATTTGGCGATAGATTGAACATGAGGCTTGAAGGAGAGCTCGGAGTCAAAGAGAACACCTAGGCAGTGAGCCTGCATAGTGGAGCTGATGGTAGCACCATTGACTTGGAGGGAGACAGACACAGGAGTAACAACATTTGTGGGAGGAAAGACCAGAATTTCAGTTTTGGTCAAGTTTAGTTTAAGGAAGTGGGCAGCCATCCAGTTAGAAATAGCAGAGAGGCAGTCAGAGACACTAGTCAAGAGGGACGGGAGAGATCAGGAGAGGACAGGTAGATTTGCGTGTCATCTGCATAGAAATTATATTGGAAGCCAAAGGAGCTAATGAGTTTACCAAGGGAGGCAGTATAGATGGAGAACAGTAGGGGACCAAGGACTGAACCTTAGGGGACACCAACAGAGAGGAGTTGGGGAGAAGAAGCAGAGCCAGAGAAAGAAACACTGAAAGAGCGCTGGGAGAGGTAGGAGGAGCACCAGGAGAGAGCAATATCTTGTAGACCGATATTGCGGAGGATGAGAAGAAGCTGTTGATGATCAACAGTGTCAAAAGCCGCAGACAGGTCAAGGAGAATGAGGATAGAGTAGTGACCACGAGATTTTGCAGCGAGTAGATCATTGGATCTGCTTGTGAACACCTATTAACACCTTGGAACGGTTCTCACCGCAGTGTTCTAATTGTTCGTCTGGGTGGCCGCAATTCCTATGAACAACCACGAGGTGGCGGCCATCTTGTTCTCATAAACGGAGGTAGCGGTGTTTGGGCATGAATCTCATGGGACTAACCATACCAGCTATACCAGCTATACCTGCTTCGGATTGCTATACTGGCTATAATCACTAGCTCTTGTAAGAGCAACACAGCTATACCTGCTAGACACTCTGGAGTAGGAGAGGTCCACCAACTGGAAGCTGAGTCCTGGGCTCGGGTCCAGGGTGGATGGAGGACAGCGAGACCCCAGCCAAGCTGTGGTGGCTAAGGGGCTATGGTGCTTATGGTGTCTGGTGTGGTGCTTATAGTACTCCATGCTACCAGGAAGCAGCGATTGGCGGAGGCACCCAGCCACCACAGTTCCCTAAGATTAGCTTTTTGGACCTCATTTAGTTGCAGCAGGCACATATTAGTTTCAAATGAGCATCTGCCCTTATTAGATTGTAGACTTTTAAAACATTTAATAGGGTTTTACATACTTTTATTGAATATTATATTTGTCAGTTTCAATTATATTAAATCTGAAAAATGAGTATCTGATCTAAGTTTATCATTGTAGAGTGGGTCTATATGCTAGTACAATGTACATAGACACTGTCAGAAAATGTTTAGGATCATTAGGCATAAATAATGGCTTTCTATATTATTAGGCAAATTTGTATAAACGCTTATGTAACCCATAATAACATCTGGGAAAACTAAAATGATATCTTGATAACAGTAGGTTAGGTGACAACAGGTCAATTTAGGTTTATATTGTGTGGGATCTATATAGAAAGGTTTAGCTGAGTCATAGGAGTTACTATCAGTTACATTCATTGGATTGTCACTCCCCCACTCAGGACATAAGTCTCTAGACTCCCATGGGGCTTCTGCATCTTGAGACTGAATCTGATGTACAAGGATTTCATATTATGGCATCATAGTATAATATCGTTAATGTATTTTGCTCTTGATGGGCGTCAGATGGACCCAAGACACATCAAAGGACCTGAAAGCTTGGGTTGTTTGCTATAAAAAAGAAATGGGCCAAAACTCAAGGACTTCTGGATGAAATTGGGACAAGTTAAAAGGGAGAATGCCCTTTGACAGAATAATCCCTGTTTTAACTTTGTTTGTAGAATTCCAACACCTTAATGTGTGAATATTAACACCTTTGTTTGTGGAATATCCACACCTTATGGTGAATATTAACACCTTAATGTGGTCCATATTTAATTTACCCATTTGTACTTTTGTCCTTTTTTTGTTATTACAAGTGTTCATGTACACAGTCACAAAATGTGTCTTACAATGTGTACAGCAAACTGAAATATCACCAAACCAAACTCAATGTGATTTCTTATTCTATAGAAATAGTGACTTGATTTGTAAAATTTAGAACAGTGAAGGTTTGGCTCTAGGGTTGAGTATGATTCATGAAAAATATTGTTGGAAAATATCTAGAGTGTTGATGTTAACTGGTTAACTGGTTTAGTAGCTCTTTAGATGACAGTGTTGACTGTTGACAATCTGCAAAACATACACAGCATCCCTGTCTTCAAGAGAAGGAATAATAAAATAAAGTTGTAGTGACCTTAAGATAATACAGATTTCCAAACCCTGATTTGAGCTTCTTGAACAGTAACCTATTGTTTCTCTTACTGGAACTGGAAAGTATTTTGCAATCTCATCTGTTTGTTGAACTTTTGCTGCTGGGAAATTCCCTGTAGGCCTCTAAAGTCACATTCAGGACCAATCCTGGGAGTTGAGGCAATCTCATCTGTTTGTTGAACCTTTTCTGCTGAGAAATTCCCAGTAGGCATCTAAAGTCATATGCAGGGCAGGGATCTGGGTGGGGGCTGAACCAGGCTAGAGCCCATAGTAGACCCCCGAAAAGCTCCAGGTCTAAATTTTTATTAGCCCTGCATGCCCTCTTTTGTGCCTGGCAGGACACGCTGGGGTAATAATAAATCCAGCATGCCACTGTCTGTGCCTTTCTACGTTTGGCCATTGCACTGATCTTTCAAAAGTTCATGTATTTTTATCTTTATTTGGTTTTAAGTGTTATACCTACTTCATGATCTTCATTAGCAGCAGTTCCTCAACCTCCTGGCCACCAATTAAGCCCATGTTTAAGAGGGGATTGGATATCACCTGGTTCTATAACCAGTGTTTGGAGTGTAGTGCAGATTAGTATGGCATTAATGTAGCGAATGGGGCAATTTATTTTTGTCCCACTAGGTTTAAGGTATGGGTTAAGGTATTACAGGCCAATGCTTTTTATTGTGGCAAAGTGCTTTAGTGAATTTAAAAAAAACTAAACTAAAAAAAAAACTCCCAGTGACATGTATTAGATTTTCCCAATGGCAACAATTTGCAAACTATTTTATATTAAGTTTTCTTGCTGACATTTTACCCATAGTATGTTTTCAGGATCCATGCTCGTCATTGATAGGAATAAAGGTTGACTACTACGTTCTTATACTATTCTTGACTGCAAGGTTCATAAAACGGACCATGGTGGTAGAGTATATGTTTCATAGGTAGACTCATTGACCAGATCTCTCCTCACCTTTGATGCAGCTTTTGCTAACTTGTGTGAAACCATTGCATATTGCTATATATATTGCAATTTTATGAATATATGGTTTTAATTAAATAACCCGTTTTTAGTATTGGGAACACAACGTAATAAAGGACTCATGCAGCCTTTGCAGATCCACAACTTCATATATGTTTCACAAGCTGACAAAGTATTGAAAGAAAAACTATCATCAACTTTATAATTAAAAACAAAAGATTACATGTATAATAGCCTCTGTGCGTATTATTTTGTATGCATACATGTAAGTAAATACCTATTTTCAGGGCACCTCCTGATATACCCTTGCTCTGTGGGGGAGCCATCTTTACTCTTCTTTGGTCACAAGCACAGATAGTCCAACCAAAAAAACAAGTTGGTGATCAAGAAGTAGTGGGGAAGCACCAATCATCTCATGCAGCTAATGAGTGCATCTGTTTAAAGACCTAAAATTAGGGCAACTGCCAGGGAGAAACTGGTCCCTTTGTTTGAGTGGCGTAGTATGCAGCTCAAAGATAGAAAATCTTGTTAACTACGTTTTACGGGATAACAATAGGTCCTTATATTGTTTTAATGCGTGTACATGCCATTGAGAAATATAATTTATATACTTGCATACACACAGTAAGGATATAATGTTGCTAATGAGTTTAAGCACTAACTCTCACATCCAAAAAGGCATGCCCTTTACCCAATGGAACCTTTTGCAGATATTTCCTATTGTATTTTGCAATTGTCTACTTCTGGGATAAGATTAATCAAAGCAGAGTTCACATAGACAGAATATGTAAATGGTTTTCTCTTTAAAAAAAAATCTCACTTTTGTCGCCAACATGTATTTGCATACTGGTAGTTTTAGAGTGTTTAGCAAGAAATCAAAGTATCATGATTAAACACATTATCATCCATACATTTTGTTCAATATTTTCTTCAACCTCGAATGCTGTCCTCTGATATCATGATTTGTGATGCTGGCAGTCTGGGTAGTTCAAACTGATGCACCCTGGGTATATTCCACGTGTGTAGATAAGTAACGGAATCACATGTTTAACACCCTAAATGTTGTGATTTCAAGAGGACTGAATTGAGCCAGCTGATTGGAACTGAGATGCTAAACAGAGTTTTTGTAGTTGAGCACCACAAAAGTTAACAATGGAATTTTCATGTACAATGCTCTGTTAACTGTACAATATATTTACAGTAGAAAAAGGCACAATGTCTCCACTTCTCCAGTTAAAAGAGATGACTGGGTGAGTTTTGTCTATAAATTCAGGTACTTCTATATGGTAGCTCTCCTCCTGGCTAACCTGCAGTTTGTTTAAGACAGTGGGAGAGTGAAGTGCCCTATAAGGTGTGCCTTTCGAGGATGGCCATCACAGCTCTAAGTAAGGGGGTACAGGAGCTTAGACCTCTAGGAAGGATCTCCCAAACCTGGCACCCTCTCTATCTGGACTGAGGATAATGAGGACTCTGAGTCTGCTTCCTTCTAAGATAGGAACAAATAGTTTAATTTATGCAATATATTGCCATAATGTTCAAGATTAGTTTCAAAGGTCATTATTACATGCACAAGAGAGTTATATCTCAGAGTGAGATACACTTAGCATTCAAATTTCATATATGACTTGAGTGGAGGGTAATTAGTATTTTACATAGTAGGTTAGAGAGAAACACATTTTTACAATCTTAATCTTTCAGCTTAAAATGGATCGATTCATTTTGTTTCTGACTCAGGACATCCATGTGTCTATCTAAAGCCTTCATCAACTCTCCTACAGTATTAGCCAACCACTTCTGCTGTTAGACTATTCCATGCATCTACATCTTTCTTTATAAACAATATATATGTATGTGTCTTGAAATTGCCAGACATTTACCTCTCAATACTGTACACGTATGCACTAGTGTACATCTTTTAAAACAACTGCTACCTCTTGAATTTCCTTAAGACATTTGTACACAACAACCTGTTTCTCTTGCTGGAACTGGGAAGTATTTTGGAAAGTATATTGCAATCTCATCTGTTTGTTGAAGCTTTGCTGCTGGTGAAATTTCCCGTATTCATCTAAAGTGACATAAGAATCACCCCTATATTTTAATGTATAGGTAAAATTAGGTTATTTTTGTTGTAGTGATGCTGGGTCATCACTGTAGAAAAGTATTTTGAAGGGATCCCATAGACACCCAGTCACACTTCATCTCATTGAAGTGGCCTGGGTGTTGTGCCCCTGTCTGTTAAGTCCATTAGTGGTGTTTCCTACTTCCTAATGGAGTTTTACTTCGTGAAACAACTGTGGATGTCCTTCCACTTTGCATGAAGATGTCTAACGTCTTTAAATTCCTCATAGAAAAGCATTGCTTCAATGAATTCCTATGGGTAAGCATTAATGCACATGGCACATGTGCATTAGGTACCAACATGGACGTGATGTTGCGGGAGGAGGAGACCTTGCCAATGCTGAGAGAGCCTCAGCACAGAAAAGAGGTAGATTGGGGGAAAAAACATGTTATAACTCTTTCATCACTGGATAGTTGGGGTGGACCTAATAAGTTACGGACAGGGACTACAGCTTTTTAAATACAGGTTTGTAAATCATTAGTAACATTGCAAAACCATATTTAGCCTTAAAATTATGATATAGTATTTTCCCTCTTTATTTTAGGAAATTATTAAATTATATGTAGCATGGGACGTCTCATTTACTAAATGTTGAATTTGCTAAAGCAAAACCGCATTCAATTTATAAAATTCCTGAATGAATGCTAACCACATTGAACTAAATGGATCCCTGCAATGTTCAGAATAGTGAAATTAATTTGAAAACACTTTTATTGATTACAGACTAAACAGCCGCCAAATTTCATTGCTGCAAAGAAAAGAAAATATGCCTTTAGATAGATTTTTATTGCTGTATTACAAGGATGCTGTGTTTTTTATTGCTGTATTACAAGACTGCTGTATTTTTTATTGCTATGTTACAAGGATTCTCTATTTTTTATTGCTATATTACAAGGACTTTGTGCGGTAGTGTATATTTGCTTATTACACACTGCTTTATTTATGTCCAGATTTTATATCTTTCAATAAATTGTTTTTGAATAATACTCTCCACCTGCCTGCCTTACCTGTAGACACCTACCGAAGCCAGTACTGGCACCTTGAGGCTAGTCACATAGAGCCTGGCACGGCGCCATACTTGTGAGTTTAACCATACATCCATCCATTGTACTGAAATAGATTACACAATGTATTTTTGATCTATTTCTTTTTAGAAACAGTATTCCTGTACTATTGAATATTGCCTGATACTGCTAAGTATATGTAAAAAGTATTTTTCCTTCCACTCTAACACAGGGTGCTGTGCATATTAATAGTGGTTTTACTACATTTGTTTTTGTTTCTTTAGATAAGAGTAGAATTTGGGGGAAGATTTAGGGCTGGTAGATCAAGCAGTGTTAAGGCGAGTCGGAGATAGTGTTAGGATGAGTTAGGGGTCACAAGTCTTAAAGTTATGGATTCCCCTTGTTTTTAATGAGGGAACTGGATCAACGGGAATTTGACTGTTTGTGTAATCTGTGACTAGTCCAGTCAGCAATGTTACATGGAAATTTGGCTGATTTCAACAGACAACCAAGCTGGAGTCAAAGGCAAGTGGAAATTTGGTTAAAATAACTAGATTGTCTAAAAGGATTACATTTGATCTAAACAAACACATTGTGACATTCACCTGCCTTCATCATTTAGTAAATAGACTACTTGGAATTTTATTTTTTACATATTGTTTGTTTATGTTTATCCGATGTGTGATGAACAACAGCCATCCATTAACACTTCAGCACATGCAATCAGCTGTGTTTGTGTGATTCACCTTCATAATAATTCCTCCAGTACAGTTTCCCTGCTTAAATCCGACAACAAAACGTTTCCAACTGAGTAAAAAAACCCAGAATAAACTGTCATTGAGAAGAGTAAAACATTAACAAAATGCTTCTGCTACACTAACTGCAAGCTTGTCAGAAAATAAATGGGAAGGGGAGGGCTGTAAAAGGCGTAAAGATAGGGTGGTAGGGATCAAGGTAGATATTTTTGACACAATCACACACAATACATGCTGTTCTAAACAGAGGTGCCTCAGCTGAATGGTATTTTTAAGAGTTCAAGGGTCACTGTAAGCACCATAGAAGCTTGGCATAATTTCAAACACTATGATACAGATAGTACAATGTCTCCCTTCAGTTATAATACCACTTCCTAGACCAGTGACATCACAGACAGACTTTTACTTCCTCATTTGCTGTCTAAGATACTTACAATTTGTACACATTTCTCCCCCTTCTCTCCTTATCTGGGACATCATTACACTCAAAACACTGTGGAATGTGGGGACTAAAGTACGAATTCTATAAACCACAGCTGGCAAGAGCTAATTAGATTAGGAAAAATATCATAGACCTGTATTTTTGGAATGAGAGGCTTTTGATTGGTGAAGTCTCTTCCTGGTCTCAGAGGGGTCTCACTGCTGTTGCATTTGCCTGTGCACAGTTACTTTGAAGGTGAGTATTTTTATTTTTTCAGCAAATTTTTAATGCATTACCTATCTAATGCATTGGACACTGAGACACTTCCTGCACATTGTGTCCCTTTAATACTTTAACCATACCCTCTATGAGATTTATTTACAAAACACTGTATTTACTGGAGAAGTCATTGCAATGAATTGAAAAATAAATTGCTAAATTAAGACTAAAATAAATATGCTCTTAATATATGAGTTAAAAA